TTTCATCATCCTCCAATATTGTCATCCATACTTATTCGACCTTAACCCTTTCGAACAAACAATTTCACCGCCAACGGCTTATATTTACGTCATCATACTCTTATCATATTTCATCATAATTTTTGGGTTATTGTTCCTTGGTGATTTCTGCTGTTGTTGCTCAGTTTCAGCTTCAGTTATTATTATATTGTATTGTTGTTCATCTTGTGGTGGTAACTAATTTCTGTTCCAATGTCTACAGCTTCCATCTTATCCCTCCCTCTAAGCCATCCTGGTTCGTACATATTTTTGCGTTCATTAAACTGTTTTGTTTATGTTCCAGGAAAAACTTTGTCTATCCGCAAAATGTCTACGAAAACGTTTTTCGCATCGAAATATATACGTATATACTAGTTGTAGAAGCCGGCATTCATTCATTCATTTGAACATACTTTATGTACTTAACTCCGCAAAAAAAAAACGAAAACGCCAAAAATTACTCATTCTAGTCAGCATATCCCGCAAAAGTACAACGGGCTGAAATGAAAAACAACAAGAACAACAAACTAACTAACTAAAAATGAAAACGTTTTGTTTGTCTGCCCTTGTCTGTCTGTCTATATATCCATCTATCTATTCTCCTGATTGTCTGCTGTGTGTCAGTCACACGCCTGTCCGCCTGTCTGCCGTCTCTCCTTTCGTCAATAAAACCGTGAACTTCCTTTCAGTTTAGTGCTAAAATTTTCTATTGCAAATATTTTCATGGCATCATAATTTATATACATTTAAATTCGCACATACACATGCATGCATAGATATTAAATAGAATATGTATATAATCGTCTATATTTTTAAAGTGTTGTGTTAGTATGTGTGTGTGTGTATGAATATAACAATTTATTAAACACTTTTTTTGTGATGAACATTTTTCTATTAGTCTTCAAAAGTGAAAGGGTTTCGTAAAAATTCCAGCAAATTTTGCAATGGTGGTGATGGTGGTTATTGAAAAAATCGATAAAATTTGTTATATACAAAATTAAATTGTAATTTTTATTTAACAAAATTTAAAGTGAGAATATTTAAAAATTTTGAATTAAATACATTTTGCGAGAGATTTTTATACCCTACACAACTATGTTGTCAGGGTATTATAGCTTTGTGCAGCCCCAAATGTTTGTAACGCCGCGAAATATTGGTCCTAGACCCACCTTTAAGTATACCGATCGTCATATCTCGACTAGCTGAGTCGATCTAGACATGTGTGTTCGTCCGTCCGTCCGTCTGTCCATTATAATTTGTAAACACGATACAGGCCACACTTATGGACCAATCTTCACGAAATTTTGCATGTAGGATGGGTTCTGGCCAATGAAGACCCCTATTGTTTTTGGAAAAGATCGGTTAATATTTAGGGGATGAAATGGACCAAATACTAAATTTTTGTCGGTTTTTCTGGTCGCTCCAGAGGCCGCAATTATGGCCCAAACACCGCGAAATGTTGCATGGAGAAGGGGATCGGGCCAGAGAATAAGCATGCATGTTTTGATAAAGATCGGTCAATATTTAGCGGGTCAAATGGACCCTGACTTTTGTGTGAAAAATGACCAAATTTGTATTCTATGGCATATATATTTACTCCTGGAGGATGTAGACCCCAGGAGTTGATAGCATATCCAAGAGGAGTGGTTGGCCTTTAAATTGATACCAAATATAGTGATGTATCTACTCAGATGTGGGAGTTACAGTCAAATATTTACAGGTGCTTACGTATTCAGATATTATTTAGTAACCCATTACCACATTAGAGGGAGAAATATCGCGCTGATGGCTTTGAAATTGTTCATGAAGTTCCAGTTATGGTCAAGAACAACGCCTACAATTTTCGGTGATGATCAGATTAAAATTTTGGGATGAAATGGACGGAAAACATAATTTTTTGTGTGTTTTCGAGTAGAGTATAATCCGAAAATCACAACACAACCCACCGTGAAGGTAATCTGGACAAGTAATTAAAAGGACTGTACTGAATATTCGAAAAAAGTAAGGAAGAGGTGTTGTTAACCTCTAATCGGACAAGAGGGGGCAAATATCACGAAATATTACTCAGACTCGGAATAAACATCCTCAGAAAGTTAGTTTTTCGTGGTAGTTGTGTAGGGTATCGTATGGTCGGCCCCGTCCGACTATACTACTCCGCTCACTGGTTATTAAATAATTTATTGAAAAGGTTTAAGGAAAGTTGAGGTGACTTTTATTATGAATCTTAGGAGCACATTATCTACATAAAAATATTTAGTTATAGTCCCCTCCCCAGCATAAAGGTCCTGCCCTATTTTGAGAATTTTAATGGTGCTGTGGGCATTTTTCGACAGAAGTGGCTATAATGTGGCACTTTAGGTATCAGGTGTCTAAGAGACCTTGTTCGATTACAGGTATTCTGAGACCATGCCTGCTCAAAAATTCAACACGACGAAAATAACAAGTGTATAAACAATATAATTAGTTTCCATGGTTGAAAACATCTTCTCGGTATTTTTCAATATAAGTCCATGTCTGATGATTTGATGGGCATATATGCATTTAGCAACCGAAGTGGCTATAAACTGGCATTCTCAAAAAATTAGGCACATCAACATTTGAAACTGATTGGATTATTAGTTTTTGAGTTATTGTGCCCGCCATTCGTAAAACTCTGCTTCGAGAAAAATGTGTTTAAAGTTTGAGAATCACTCTTGCCGTCACTTGATGCTGACACAATAAATGGGCTATATCTTCAAGAGTTCTTGAGATTTTCACTTGAAAATTTATAGGGAAATTCTAAAATTAGAGTAGATTCGAATTAAATCAAAACATTTTTTGACACCGACTGCTAACATGCCGGTCAAATTTGATAATTTCTCCGATAAAATCGGATTTTACCCCCAAGCTAATATTTTCAGAATTTCAATCATCTTCTTCTGAGGCATTTTTATACTCTTCACCACACTGTGGTACAGGGTATTATGTGTTTGTGCACACGTTTGTAACAGGCAAATGGAAATGAGATAGACCCATGGTTCCTTTTGAGAATATGCACAGAATCACTTTCTGAGTCGATGTATGCATGTCCGCCTGTCCGTCCGTCTGTTCATGTCAAATTTTAAACAAAGTACAGGTCGCAGTTATTATCCGAATTGGATGAAATTTGGCACAGCTCATCTATGAAAATTGGGAACCCTATTGAAATTGGGAAAAATCGGTTCAGATTTAGATATAACTCGCATATATATTTTCGCCCGTACCAAAGTACCTATATATCTTTCGATTTGCACCAAATTTGGCATATCGTAATAAAATTAAATCTATAGGGATGTGTGTAGAGTTTCGTGAAATTCGGTTCAGATTTAGATATAGCTCCCATTTATAGTTTCGTCCGATTTTCAGTAAATGGTGCACCAATGTCCCTATACATTATTCGATTTGCATGAAATTTGGAACAGCGTACTGAACTAAGTCTAGAACGATGCGTGCTAAGTTTTGTGAAAATCGGTCCAGATATAGATATAGCTCCCATATATATTATCATCCGATTTTATGTAAATGTAAATCCCTATAAATCATTCGATTTGCACGAAATTTGGCATAGCGTACTGAATTGAGTCTAGAATGATGTGTGCGAAGCTTCGTGAAAATTGGTTAAGATTTAGGTATAGCTCCCATATATATTTTCGTCCGATTTTATGTAAATGGTGCACCAAAGACCCTATATATACTTCGATTTGAAGGAAATTTAGCATAGCGTACTGAATTAAGTCTGAAATGATGAGTGGTACGTTTTGGGAATATTGGTTCAAGTTTAGATATAGGTCCCATATATATTTTCGTTCGATTTTATGTAAGTGGTTCAAAGTCCCTGTATATCTTTGGATTTGCACGAAATTTGGCATTGCGTACTGAATGAAGTCTAGAGTGATTTGTGTTATGTTTCGGGAAAATCGGTTCAGATTTAGATACAGCTCCCATATATATTTTCGTCCGATTTTATGTAAATGGTGCACCAAAGTCTCTATGTAGCCTTCGATTTGCGCGAAATGTGGCATAGAGTAATGAATTGAGAACTACAGTTGATTATTTTGAAAAATTTGGCCAATAGTTTCGCAATACCGAATGTTGGGACGTACTCTTGTATGAGGGTTATCCTAAATAGTGTATCAATATCGATTATTTTAAGTAGCCTAATGCGCTACCTTGTCCTACCCGTTACATGGGGGCTACCATTTTCAATGCTAAATATCCTGTGTATATTAGCAATGAACAACTCTTTGTCACTTATAGCCCTCTGGAGCACATTTGTGACATCATGAACATCATCATGAACTGGGTTCGCAATACTTATTGAACAAATTTCGTAACACAATGACATTATAATTAACTATACAATATGTAATTCCAATATAATTACACTGCTAAAATAACTATTAAATCTTGATCTTGGTTCACATTCCGCAATGTTACATAACTGAGAATACTTTTTCCAAATAAATAACACAACATTGTTGTCTATGGGAAATTAACCCTGACGACATTAAAAAACATTTTCATTTTTAATTATAGCCTAGATATGTAAACCGATTCAATAAGGCATGACAAAATCAATTCCGCAACTATAAAAGTAAAAATACAAGTTTAAATCGATTTATAACAGTACTTGAAGCCAGTATGAGTGGTTTAAATTAGTATTATTTGTTAGTCGCAATATCATGTGGACTACTTACCAATTATGGGACAGCATTCGAGTGGCGTAAGATGGAAATTTCACAATCACATATTTGCATTCTTATTTACAATCTTTTTTTCTTTTAGCATTTTTAAAAGCCTGCACACCCAAGGACGAACTATGTCACCGAAAAAGTGTCGTCGATTTCTTTCACACCTATCCCAATGGCATACCTGAATTGGATATACCCAACATGGAACCCATAAATTTGGGCAAAATAAATGTTAAAACTCATGGAAATGAAAATTTCAATTTAAATATTTACATGAAGGATATTCTACTGTATAACTACACAAAAATCGAATGCCTCTCTGTTAAGGGTATTACAGAGGATTTAACAAAACCAGCACATTTAACAATTAAGGTGTGGAATCCACAATTATCATTACGAGCCCATTGCCATCTAAAGGGAAAAATGCTAATATTTAATGTTGAAGGTGATGCTGATTTAGAGGTTCATATGTTTAATACAACTACGCTGATAGATGTCGATCTGGTGCCCACGGTAAAGGATAATCAAAGTTACTTGAAAGCCACCTCATTTTATGCCAAACAACAAACACCGAGTATGAAAATGTATTTCAAAAATTCAACTCTCTTCAATGGTGACCAAACATTTGCCGATGCCTTTACTGATACCATCAATGAGAATTGGCCATTGATGCTTAATGAAATTCAACCGTACTTTGAAAAAGCCAATGCTAAAGTGTCCTTGGCTGTACTTAATAAGATTTTAACAACCATACCTACCGATCAATATTTTAAAGATGCAAAATGAAAAAAAAATAATAATTGTTTAAAGTGTTAGTGTGTTTAAAGTGTTTTTGATTTGAATGAATAAAAATACTTTATTACTATCAAATATAAAATTCGGCTGGGTCAAAACTTTATACCCTCCACCATGAGGTCGACATTTAAAATGCTGGAAATCGTAAGGGATTTTATATATTACGGGCGATGCTATGGTATATTTGATTTGACACGATAAGGGTAATGTCATATGGAGGCTATCCCAAAAATAGCGTTAATATTGATTTGCCAGAAATATATGCGTCTAATGTGAATTCAAAACACCAAAGAACAGTCCTTTCGAATAAAAATTTTGACCATACTTCCCAAAACACAGAAATTTGAGAAATACCGTTTTCTTAAAAATGGAACTAATGTTGATAATATTTAAGGTGGCCTTAAGGGGGCCTCTCCCATTCTCGATTTAAATGTTTCAAGATTTTCATTGGGCTGGTAAATGAATACCAATGCATGTTATGGTTTGTAACTTTACACATATGAAATTGAAGAATTAAAAGAGCAGAAAAATAATTTGCAAAATTTGGTTGTTGTTCCTTTTTTTGGTGATTAAAGAAAAGTTATTATTTTTGATGACGGGCATGATACCTCCTCACTGGAACATCGGAATTCGGAAATTCCAACGTTGTTACAAAGAGTACATGTCTGGCTCTCGTATGAACTAGGATTATTGACTTCGCTCAAAAATTAACGATATGGCGGACCTTTGAAAAACATTTTTTTTTTTTTTTTGGAATTAGCCTATTTTTTACCACAAACCAAGTTGAACAAGTGAAAAAGCGGTAAGTTCGGCCGGGCCGAACTTTGGATACCCTCCACCATAGATATATTGACAGGTACTAGAAATGAAAATATAGGGAACATACCAAAAAGTTGTCATATACCGACATTTCTAAAAACGGATTATGTAAACCATAATACAAATTTTAGAAATTTTTAAAGGATAAGTATACCCTCAACCTTATGGCTAATGAGGGTGTATACACTTTAACACGGCGAAAATGTGCCTCATCGAAATATTGGTTCTAGACCCCATGTTTCTTTGGACCAAATCCGTTTCAGAAAATTTAGATTTCATCCGAACTTTGCTCATCTTATTATTTCTTCCAAGCTTAGTTCAAATTCGAAGATGAGGAATATTGGTCCACTCCTTCTGGAACCTCCAATCAGGGGCTAGGTCTAAATACGGCTATAGTTCTGCAGACAAAAGACAACCCTATGCAAAATTTCAGCACCCTTTCTCAATTCCTTCAGAAGATAGCGTGATTACAACAGACGGACGGACATGGCTAGATCGTCTTAGAATTTTACCCTGATCAAGAATATATATACTTTATAGGGTCGGAAATGACTATTTCGATGAGTTACAAACGGAAAAACAAAATTAATATACCCTCCATACTATGGTGGAGGGTATAAAAATATATAGCAAATTTGGTTGGAAAACGTGTCCAAACTCCCAAAATACTGAATATTGATGGTACGGTTATATGGGGACACCCTGAAACTTGTGTCAATATTAACAATTATTGGTACGGGTATGTATTATTCAATGAGAACCGAAAATACCAAATTACAGGCAATTCAGTTCGGAAACCTGTCCAAAATCCCCAATTGATGCCATTAGCAATACCAAACATGCTTGGAGTAATAGCAATGTCGGTGCAAAATTTCAGAGCTGTATCTTAAATATTGCGATCTCCACAGTGATCTCAACAGATGGACAGACATTTTGACGAACATACATAAATCGAAGAATTTTTTTCTGATCAAGAATTAGAACACCTTGTGGGGTCTCCTGTGAATATTTCAAGAAGTTCCTATTGGCCTGACGTCTATAAGTTCCATTGCTATTCAATGTATGCCTCATTCCTACGCATGATGCCAATATATTTCCTTCCCACATTCGAAAGTCCTGCTCGCATTCAACAGAGTCTTTTGTAAGCAAAGTTCATCTTTTTGGCCTTTCTTTGATATTTCTAACTTTTATTATTGGACTTGAGTTTGACCTTGAAAACCAACCATACACATTTTTCAAAATTAAGGTTAAGTCCCCATTAGTTGATCGAATCCGAGCGATTGCATCTTAAAAGGAATGCCTTGTTGTCAGACTGTATCAAAAGCTCTGGTAAAGTCCAGACCAATAGCAATGGTTCAGTCCTTCAGTTTGAAGCTTTCGGAGACATATGTGGAGTATTTTGCCAGAGCATGGATTGTCGAACGTTTTCCTAAATATACAAACTTACGATATCTAAGGATTTACCTTTCCGCAATAACCAGTTTTACTTGCAAAAAATACTTTAAGTTCAAGGTTGGTTTAACCCTTTCAGGGTCAAAAAAAAAAACTTTTTTGTCGGAATAAAAATCTAAAATTTTGTATTTAAAATCATATAAATGCATAGAGTTTAGAAAAAATAGCAAATTTTCATTTTCGTCTGTCTTTCAGCAAAAACAAAAACATCAATTGTAACGGTACATAGGATAACCGAAAAATCGCAAAGAAAGAGAGTACTTTTAAATGTGGAATATATTCGACAAAAACACTAAAAGGGTTAAACCAAATAATCAAGAGCGGTTCTTGCCACTAGCCTTATGAAAATGTCTCCAAGTTATCACCAGTTATTAAATTAGCCGATTGCATTTTCCATTGTTTACTGCTTAACACTTGCACATTATAGGACACAAGAGTAGCTAGTTTGTATACCCCATTTTTCTGTTTCTAAATTTATAATCAGATTTTCCATACCACAATTCCAAATCAATACCAATTGCAATTGCTATACAAAGACTACAATAGCAAAATTTACAGATCATAACGAATTATGAGAAAAAGAAGAAAAAAACGCAATACAATGTCATAAATATCAAAAACCGCATAAAGGCGTTGACAACCGGACTAATCCAGTGACAGGGGAAATGACAATCGCAACTACAAAGAATTTGGACAAAACAAAGAAAATATCAAACAAATGCGACGACTCAAGAGCATGAACAAGTTACAAAACATTCGGGAGTGTCAAACGAATGAAAGAGAAAGAAAGCAATAGGATACGGACCACAACAAAGGCCCGGCCTAACAATATGACATGCGACTAATTAGATAACAATAAAATATGAAAAAGAGACAATTATGCTATGAGAACCAAGAATAAAAGAAAAAAAATATGATTACAAAGGACACCGAGTGGCATTAGTATAAGGTCACAATATAGATTTCCTTTTCATGCCATTGTATTTTTTGTCCAAGGCGGACAAAGGTATTAACACACCTTCGAACAGGAGACATTTTAACGCATTTTGACAACAAGCACAGCAAGTCTGGGCATTGTGAACCACACACACACGCACACAGGTACATTCAAAGGAGGACATCCATAGTAAACCAACCACGAAAAGACTCAACGGCGCTTTTCTAATGAAAATCCGAAAATTTTCTTTGGAATTCTGTAGGAAACAAAAAAGAGTCATTGAGATTGCCCTGGAGGTGGAACCAATGGAGGTGTGTTGCACAAGTGCTTAATGTCATGCCATAAGAAAGGATTTCTTTTTGCGTGTATTATTCAACACACAACAATGGAAGGGGATCGGACGGACACCCATGGTTATTATATCTACCACATAATTAGTATTGTTTATGATTACATCATTGTTAACAGAACCATTGTCCTGCTGTGGGTGTTTACAAATTCATAATCTATATGGAACATTTGGTCGGAATTGTGTGACATATGGCATAATGGGTAATATTGATTTCGATTTTAAGATGAGATGGATTTTTTATTTCTTATTTTTAAGATATTTCGCCTTATGTTTCATTCTAATACAGAAGAAATATGTCTATGACGCTGTAGCCACAACAATGAAAGGACAAAACTCGACTTTATGAATGCCTTACACCACACAAGAGATGATTCTAATATTATTTTTCTATCATATATACCGATAAGGCAATTTTAATAAGCATTCATCCTGTTGACAGACGTAGCACGTTTAGTGGAATATTGTCTTTAAATCCGATAATTAATATGTGATATATGTCCGATAATTAATATGTGGTATATGATATATATGTCCTATTCGCATTCGGCAGCACAATCCTCTCAGATATTTTTAAAGCCAGGTCTGCATTCGGCTGGCACGAGGTCAACAGTTAAATCGGACAGGACCTCTCGGAGTCCTTCAATACCGAATGAGTATTCAGACAAGGTGACAGTTTGTGGTGTGACCTCTTTAATATCCTGATGAAAAAGATCATATGTGATGCACATGTGAACAGAAATTACACTCTGCACACCAGACAGCGTGAAGAAATCTGCTTAAGTGTAGACTCGGACCAACTGTGGAACTTGAAAACTACAGCTTCAAGGTATAACGGTTTTATATACCTCGGTACAGTAAACATAACTAATAATAACAGCTAATAGTGTTGGCCAAAAGATGGTACTATGGTCTGAGTAAGCAATTTAAAAACAAGGCCACCTCTCGCCAGCCTAAACTCACACTCTACAAGCCGCAGATACTACCCGTGCTGTTATATGGATCTGAAGCATGGGTACTTGCGCAGAAATGAGGCAGCTCTTGGAGTGTTTGAGAGAAAAATTCTCCGAAAATCTACGGACCGATCTGTGTCGACGGTGAATATCGGCGTCGAATGAACCATGAGTTGTACCATCTATTCTCGGACATCGACATAGTCATCGAGCCCCCAGCTCAAAAGGCATATAAAAGCGAAGTAACTGATGGTTCACGCAAAAGGGAATTCGATGGAAAGTGGAAGATAACGTCTCGAAACATGGTCTTTCAAATTGGGAGTGCTGCCAACAAGACGGACTCGCCTCGAAATCTTTTTTCAGCTTGGCTCATGGACCAAATGTTCTGTCTGAAGCCAGCTAAGTAAGCCTAATTTAGCACCCTACTAATTTTTATAAGGTAAAGTGTATATTATACTTTGTCATTCCGTTTCCACAATAT